TTATTAATTGTTAAAAAAAAAAAAATTCATCAAAATTCATATTGTATTTAATGAAAATTTTAAATGTAATTATTTTGTAATTATTGTTATAGACTTATCAAATTTCTTTATATAATATTTTACAATCTTTTAATAAAATTATGCACATTGTGAATGTTTTTTTGCGTGAATTTTTTGCGTGAATTTTTGTGAATTTTTTGCGTGAATTTTTTGTGAATTTTTACGTGAATTTTTTTACGTGAATTTTTTACGTTGACATTTCCAATTACCGCAATTCGGAGTTTCACACCCATTAAAGATCCTTCCGGAGAACCCGCGTGGGATAATTTGATAAAGTCTGTGAAACTTGGATATATACGTACACTAGTGCTTCTTTACTATTATTTTGGTTTCACAATTAATTCAATTTATTTCAAATAAATGATCTCGTAAAAAAAAAGAAAACAAAATGTTTATAAATAATAAACATCTAATGAATAATTGAGATTTAAATTTTTTACATTTAACGATCCGATCATATTCTGAGCTAATTTTATAATTTGATTTTTTCTTGCAAGAATAACTTCAGATTTTTCACACTTGATTTTGTCCAATTGCTCTAAAATCTTGCGAATAGGATCCTTAAGATCGTTATTATTAGTAGTGGACTTGAGAGATATAAGATGGTTCTCAATAGCTCGAAGTTTGTAAAGCTCTGAAAGAATTTGACGAGTTCTTTGCCTAGTAATATGATATTTGATGAACTTGATAATCGTATAACCCGCTTTTATTCTTTCAACTAAATCTTTGGAATTTTTTGAATTATTTTTTTTCAAAGGACATTTGACTTGAGACGTTTCAGAACCTTCATCCAAATTTATAGATGGTTGCTCAACACTAACACAATTTAATAGACCAACTTCTTTGGCTTTACGTTCATAAAATTTTCTTAAAGCATCCCGATTTTGTTCTTGTTTTATGGAAGATTGACGACTAGTCCTTTCTCTTAATAATTTTTCCTGTTCAGCACAAAGTTTATAACGACGTTCTTGTTCATGCTTTAGGTTTAATCGTTCAAGTTCAGAGATTTTTCTACAAGAAATATTTGGAGCAAGATTTAAAGTATTTCTTGTACCGCGGTAGGAATCAGTATTATTATTATAAAGATTATTATTTATGAAAAAATTTTGAGAAGTATTTGGAGCTGAATGAGGTTTTTTAGATTTTGAATCAAGATGACGTGAATTGAAATCTTTTTCTGATGAATGATATTTAAACATTCTTGAACTCCAATTTCTTTATATAAGATTATTAATATAATACTATGCACACTATTTAGTTAAAATCTATAGGTAAAATTCCATAGATAAGCGTTTTAAATTTTTAGACAATGTAAAATTTGGAATTTCAAACAAAAAGGAATGTAGGCTTTTTATATAAAAATTTTTATGTTTATATTTATGTGTAGCGGTGATTTGATTTTTATTATAGCTTAAAAAAATTTACCACTACTACGTTAGTATGGAAGTACAATAAAAATATGTTGAAAATCAACACAAAAAACCAAAACAAGAAATTTGCATACAAACTAACCAAATTATTTCTATTATGCATATATTTACAATCTAAGGCCGTTTCAAGAATTGCCTTTGTTTGATTGTACTAAACTAATGAGGAGCAGATTTTTTTCTTTATGATGTCATTGTACATGCATTCTGATTATCTCAGTGCTACATTCAGTATTACTACTACATACACATTCAGTACTACACATTCAGTATACGCATTCAGTACTACTGTGCAAGTTAATTATATTTATATTACACTTTCAACTTTATGCAAAACCTGTTTTGTACAAGTTCTAGTCCCTCAAATCAATCGGATTTTGACGTGTAACTTGGACGGATTAGTAATTGACATGTTTTACAAAATAATATGTGACTTAACGTTAAGTGACTTTTGATACTTTATAAATCAAAGAAATAAAAAATGTACTAGAAAAAACTCTTGATATTATAATTTTTAATCAGTTGAAAATTAATTTATAAGGTTTTTTTTTCTTACGCATAAAAAAAAAAATAAATAAATAAACAAGATTTTATTTCAAAGGATATCAAGATCAAGGGTCATTTGTGTACACTGCAAATAAGGACTGATCTTCAATTGGATCTTTTCCAATCGATATAATTGATATAATTGATATAATTGATAAATTTGATAAATTTGATATAATTAATATAATTGATATATTTCAATTTTCAGAACTTTGCTTCTTTGTATCTAAGAAGTTTTTTTCCATTATTGTCTTAAAACTTTAATATTAATTATTCATAAAATATCATCGATGTTATGATTTGTTTCAGATTTTCATTGGTTTATTTTGGAACGAAATTAACGAAATTAGTAATAAAATTAGATCCAGTATGACTTATTCGAAACATTCATCATTCATTCATGTTTAATGTTTTTGTTTCGCTTAAAAATTTATAAATGAAAAGTTCTCCAAAGTTATGTTGATAGATTTAAAAAAAACACTATAATTAGCGTAATTACAGGTAAATATAGATCATTAAATTACTGTTACTTATGTATGTACGTACGTACGTACGTCTGTACGTGCATTAAGTATCAGTTACAGTATGGTGACTCATTGTCACCTGGTATAATAGCTTCTATTACATCTTCTTACATCCTATTTACATCCTATTTCATCCTATTACATCCTCTTACATCCTATTACATCTTATTACATGCACAATAAAATTAGTAAAATCCTTCATGATGATTATAAGATGATTATGTTTATTATATTATATTATTTTACTTTTTATTTTCCTTAATATCCTAATGAGTTAGTCAATTCATATGATTTACTTCTAATGGTATATTTTATGATTGTTATACTTTTTTAATTGACATTTACATTAAATATTGTCGTTTGAGTTGACCTGACGGACCGAACCTACCCGTTTGAAAACTTGTATTACGTTTTACTGCAGATTTTTCCTTATTACCTAATTATGTACCTCATTTCATCATCCTTATACCTTATTTGGTTATTAGTATTACTTAGCCTTTATTTATCAATCCGTAGCCGCATTAGTTGGCAACAACAAAGGGCTATATTAGTATAAGTACCCATATTTGGCATAATGTAAATACAACGCGTGCAAAGGATATGACGATATGACGCGTTAAGGCGCAAATAACAAATAAACGAAATGAATTTGGACAGGGCACAATGAAAAAAAACGTCATCAATTGGATTAGATCTAAGCATGACGCAAGAAAAATATTTTGGATCTAAATACGCTAAGATTTTTATGTAGATAATAAATTTTTGATTACTAAGTACAATCAAAAAAAGTTATATTAATTATAATCATACGATAAATTTATGATCATACGACATGCTACGTTTTCCTATCGGAATGAAATTATTCCTTTGTCCGGTAGCTTATACTATACTTTATAACTATTATTCAGGAGAAATTATATAATTGTCGAATAATAATCTTTTTCGGTAACCTATCGTCATAAGTTACAATTATCCGATAATTTATAATAATGATCAAAGCTGCCAAATTACTCCATTATTTGCATGCTTGACATATATATCTCATTAAACTCATGCATGAATGCTAAACTTTAGTTTTGTGTAAACTTGTGAACACATTAGATCTTGTGCATATAATATTTTAAGTGTACAGTTAAAAATTTTTAAATTGATCACATACGTACGTACATATAACTATAACTAATTTGTTTTTTTTCTCTCTACAATTTAGTAACATTTTTTTGACTTGAATCGATATTATGATCCTGGCTTGCTTAATAAGTGTCGAGGGTGATGCTGAATTGCTTACAGTGATATTTGTGGAGGATGATCCTGATTTGCTTTATAATTGTGGGGGTGATGCTGAATTGCTTAATATTTGTGGGGGATGATCCTGATTTGCTTAATAATTGTGGGGATGATCCTGGCTTGCTTAATAATAATTGTGGAGGGATGATGCGGAAATTTGGGTCATGATTCGAAAATCCACATATACCTAGCCCACCCCTAAAACAAGGGAAAAAAGCACCCCAAAATTTTTTAAAATTTCATATAAAAATAGGCCCATATTTCAGTCTCAGCCAATCTCAGCTTCAGCAACCACAAAAATTGTTTCAAATTCGACTCATATATGTAGATTGGATTATTAAGAACCGGGTGTTCTCGACCATTAAGCATTGATTATTAAGAACCGGGTGTTTTCGACCATTAAGCATTGATTATTAAGAACCGGGTGTTCTCGACTATTAAGCATTGATTATTACAGATTGACATTGACATTGGATCTCCGGTAGTATAGGTGACACTTAAATGAATTAATAATATATATTTATTATTAATAATGTCACATATACTGCAAGAGATCCTTGTCATTTATTATTACGAATTGAGTACGCATAAATTTTTGACGAATGCACCGAACGGGTCGGCCCGATTGATCCGAAACTAGTCAGTTATGATAAATTTGTTATATCGGGTAATCCCGCTCGGTGAGTTAATTTTGCCTATATTGGTATCAATGAATGTAAGCAAACAGGTAATCGACTTTAATATAGTGTATCCTCTCTTATAAAATTTGTATTTATCGATTAGTAAAGAAAAAGTTCATATAACGATAAACATTTACACAGAATTGCAGTGACATGTAAAAAAGTATGAATTTATTTAATCGGATAATGTTATTACATTATTATTTATAATCAATTAATTGGTTTCGTTGAGGATTTGTATTCTTGGATCTTATACGATACGTTATACGTTACAATGAATTTTAGTGAAATAAAACGTTATGGACGTACAGTACCAATATTATTAATTATTCTAATTATTCGTAGTGAATTAATATTTAACCACGTTTACCGTAAATCTGTTAAACGTTTCACCTTTTAATTAGTAATACGTGAATACTGATACATAGTGTATGTACGTACATATGTACGTTTTTAATTCTTTTCGAAATGATAAAGTTACCGACTGAATGCCTTTACGAAATCTTTAATAACTTGTCAGATAATCACAGATGCTTATTCTCATGCCTTCTGATAAACCGTCAATGGTGCAGAATTGTTGTACCGATACTATGGAGCAAGATAGACAAACACTTATCTAATAGAAAACTTATAGAGATATGTCTTTTAGCATTAAACGCTGAAGAACAAGCTTTATTAACTCCTTTTAAAATTATCCTTCCAAATTATCCAAAACCATTATTTGATTATACAAGCTATATTACATCTATCGACCATCGTTTGAATATTGGTGTTATAGGATGGCTTACCATTAATAATAAATCTTATAAAATTCCTGTTGGTCGTAATGAAGATAAGATTATGAATGCTGTCAGATCTTCTTTAATTACAATGTTTCTACGAACATCAAAGATGCTCAAGTCTTTAGAAGTTAGTGGAATTATTTATAATAATACTCTTAAAAATCTTTGTAAAGGTTCTAATCTTGTCTCTTTAAGGCTTTATTATATTCAATTTGATTTTGAAAGTTCAAATTTATTATTTGAAGCTATTAGCAAATTTCCCGTTCTAAATTCCTTATATCTTTATCATAATCAATTTAATTTTAATTGTGCTAAAGCATTAACTGAAACTCTTACCAAGAAAACTAGTCTAACTTCTTTATATCTTTATGATAATAATTTTATTGGTTTTAAAGTTGAAAATATATTGGCAGAGGCGCTTTATTTAAACTCCAGTCTAACTTATTTAAATATTGGTGATAAGATTGGTACTGAAGGTGGGAAAACTTTAGCCGATGCTCTTTGTAAAAATTCCATTCTCACTTCTTTAGATCTTTCTTATAGTTACATTGGACTTGAGGGTGGAAAAGCATTTGCAAGGACCCTTCATATAAATACTATTCTAACTTCTTTAAATCTTGCCAATAATAATATTGATATTGAAGGTGGAAAAGCGTTAGCCGATGCTCTTTGTAAAAACGTCACTCTGACTTCTTTAAATCTTTCTTATAATAACATAAAATATGAAGGGGCAAGAGCACTAGCTGATGCACTTTATATAAACAATACTCTAGTTTCTTTAAATCTCGGCATTAATAATATTGGTATTGAAGGTGGAAAAGCATTAGCTGATGCACTTTGTAAAAACGCTACTCTGACTTTTTTAGATCTTTCTTATAATTATATTAGATATGAAGGTGTAAATGCACTAGCTGATGCGCTTCGTATAAACACTACTCTAACTTCTTTAAATC